GAGATCAATCAGCTATTTTGTTGGAATTTTTTATTAGCCTTTTTGTAAACTGAAGAAAAAATGTCAACTCAAAGCCTTCTCACCCAAATAAGACTGTGGCAGCTGACTCAAAGTGGTTTCTGTATTCATGTGTTATGTTTTGGGGTATTGGACACTGTTCTCCAATATAATGTATTTAACATTACTGATTTAAATAGTATTTTTCCAAGTTGATACTTGCTAGCATAGATCAGATCTGAATCTTAGACAATGAAATTCCATAGCTCCTAGGTCAACTTCGTGCCCGATTTGTCTGAAGACACTGCGAAGTAGAGTAAGCAAAATTTACCAACTATAAGAATTCACAGCTAATGCCAAATAGCCTTGACTTTTGAAGTAAGAATCTACCTGAGAGAAGATAAATGTCCCAGAATCTCCTAAATTAATCACCTTGGGCACTTTTACACAGAAGATGCTTTAACTAAAGCACCTCTGGGAGCCACTCTAATTAAAGTGCCCACAGCTTCTCATATATCCGGGTCCCCGTGCTTCAAAATGGTGGTGGGGGCACTTTAACTAAAGCCCATTGAATGAGCTGTTCCCCCGAGCACTACCAGGAGTAACTAGGAATAACGGCCATAAGTTGACTGAGGGTAGGTTCAGGCTAGACATCAGGAAGCACTACTTCACTGTCAGGGCAGCTAGGATCTGGAACCTACTTCCAAGGGAAGTGGTGCTCGCTTCTACCCTGGGGGTCTTCAAAAGGAGGCTAGATAGACACCTTGCTGGGGTTGTTTGACCCCAGCATTCTTTCCTGCCCATGGCAGGGGGTTGGACTTGATGATCTGCTCAGGTCCCTTCCAACCCTACTAACTATGAAATTATGATGCTGATACACGAGACACAGAGGCTGAGTGCATAAATTAGCATACTCCAGTAGATTTGATTAATTGAGTCTGCTCTGACACACTGCAATTACAGTGCATTGGAGCAACCTCCCTGCATGTCTACAGGCACCCCTTGAGAGTAAATTAATAATACAGACTACTCCAGCCTATGACTGGTTGCTCCCTACAGACCTACTAGAGAGAAGCAATTTGCCAACAGAACATCACCGCCTGGTTCCTGGACTGCAGTTCCAAATTGCAAAAGAACCAAAGAACTTGCAAGACCCCTAGTGTCTTAATTTTACAGTTTTTATATTAAATTATGGTGCGGATATAAAAGGGTAACTGTAGGCACAAATGTGTAAGCACCCATGAAGTCCACATGAAGAAGCTGCCTGAAAGTTAAGTTTCCCAGGTGACAATCCTAAACCTACTCATTAGCACTTGTTGTGTGTTCTGTCTTCAAATTCTGAGAAACTTGTAATCTCCAATATCTGCTAACAAAAGCTGTGGAATTTAAGATTATCAAAAGTGATCCGTTAAAGTCTTTTATAACTGCTCTGTTGTAGGGAGGGGGGTAGAGGGGAAGGGGTAGCCACCACACAAAAATAAAATTATAAGGAAGAAGCATTATAATTAGCTCTGAGAGAGTCATTTGGTTTCAGCATTAAGATATTCAACTACCTCCACATTACAGGTTTGACTGACTTTGGAAAAATATTTCAGTTATGATTTATAACTGAGCTAGCAGCTACCTCCTTTGAATCCTATTTAAAATTATAAAATTTCAGCGTTTAGCATTAATTTGTTTTAACCTCAATCCAGTACTGAAATTAAATCAATAACTTGACCTTAAATTGATAGTTACATTGTTTTACTTTGGTTTTAATTTCGTATTACTAAGAATAACTTGGATTATAGGTTTTCTTGATTTTTATTTGTTGCGTTTCCTTAAATGTTTTACTAGCATTTATGAAACTGATATGGAGCCATAAGTCTCTAGCTAAGCAATTTGCATCGTTTGATAACCTTTACAGATATAAGCCACTCAACCTAAAACCTTGACCAGCTCCTCTTAATTAGTTAGTCCCTACAACATTTGTCAAACATTTATACTTACACAGCTCTTGTCCCATCAAGGCTTACAAACTCATGTCACTTTAGACATGTAAGGAGAACAATAGGCTTCAAGGGGACAGCTTGTAACCATGTCTGAAAGATCAGGGCCTTGACCTGCTTTTCATAAAATATCTGTCCAAAAAACCATGGGGATTTCTTCTCAATGCTCTCATTTTGCTGACAGCACTACAAATAGATTTTCCTTTATTTAAAGAAACTCTTTAGAATATAGCAAGTGCAAAAGTGGAAAAAGAAAATACCTTATTTTTTTTTGCATATAACAAACCCTGGAATATAAGACGCATCTTGTTTTTGAAAGGCAGAACAAAAAAAGATCTTTTCTTGTAGTAACTGAGTAGCAGCAGCTAGGGAGCCTAGCCTGCTCATGGCCCTGCTCCCTATGGATCACTGGAGATTTTAATTTTGGGTTTAGCAGATAAGCAGTGGATCCTGCTCTTACCATAATTCTGCTATATAATGTGCCCTCTGATTTCCAGCAGTTGCTTTTTGAGGAAAAGGTACGCACAGTATGTGAAACATATGGTACTTATTCACACGTTGTATAAATACCTTGTAGGCCCCCTTGTGCCTGGAAGCCACTAAGGCCAGGAACTTGTTGAAACAAACAGGACGTTGAACATTTATGTGGACAGTAATATGAGTTAACAGAATCAGGGGGAGGAATTCTATTTCCCTTTGTGCACCTAAATGGCAGTATTCTAGTCATGCAAAAATATAGAACTCTTGGTTCCAAAATGATACCTTTTATTAGACCAACTGGGAAATTGCAAAAAAAAAATCCTCTTTTTTGCAAGCTTTTGGGCTCATGCACCCTTTGTCAGGCTCAGGGAAAGTTCAAGACAGTAAAAAGTCCCCATATGTAGGAAACAAACTTCATTTTTGTACAGTATCCTAGTCATGCACCTCAGTGTTTTGGACCCTGCCTCTGCACCATGGACACATAAGCCTGTTCACATGGATTGAGCATGCAGAGTTGGCAACACACTGGCCATGAAAGAGTAGGTTCCCTCCCCCACACATTTTGTTTTAGTCTCAACAGCTGATCAGTTAAGTTTTTAGGCCAGGAAATAGGAAGCTAGGTTCTAGCCTTCTTCCCATCCCCTCCTCTTGCAACTAGAGTGGTCTCAGATCCTGAGTCCCTAGCACTGTGCACCAATTACCACATGGCAGGGTAGGTGTTAACCAGCTACTGTTCCAATTCAAAATTCCCCTGGTCCTCATTTTTCCTCTTTTTGAAAATAGGCACTATTTTAGCACTTCTTTAGGAAGTGTTGACAGAGCAGTTAAGGCACCTCCCTCTCGCTCCAGAGGTATTTATTTGAGCATTGTTTGCAACTTCCAAAAAGAATCATAGTTTGCAGCTGTGTCCAGGGACTGCCAGACCTGACAAAAGCCACCTTGCTCTCTTCTCTGTCATGGGCTATGGGAGTGTGAATACATTAACCATTCCAGCCTGATGGGCCCTGTAGGCACAGGCAGACCCATGCCCCACCTTTCTTCAATTATTTTCTCTCTCCTTGGGGAAAAAGAACAGAAAGAAAGAAAGATGTGGTGAGGATTGTGCGTCCCCATCTTTGGCATTAATGAAGAATGATGCTTATAACATTTGGTTTAAGAAATAAATAATACATTCCAGTTATCTGCAGGGATAAGGACAGAGACTTAAACAAGCTAATGAGGTACTGGAAACTGAGTTTGCCAGCTTTGATTATCCAGCAGGCAAAATACACCAGCCTAGAGATATCTGACAGGCTTATTTTAAAAAGGAAACAGAGTACAGGCCAGGCTGCTCAAATGAATACAGAAATTTGACTTAAGAATAGGATGACTATGGAGTTCAGGAGGTGGAGTGGTCTCCATTCTGGATATGAAATATGAAGTGATTTTTTTAAACTTTAAAACCTACTTTCCTAGCAATCCCTCTTCTTTTTTCCTAATGATTAAGGGGCAAATGATGCCAACGTGATCAGCAAGGCCAGTGCATTTGCTGTGTCTCCTCACAATACTAAACGCTACACGCAGCAGTAGAGCTGACGCAACATTTCACCACGTTCAGCCATGGCAAGCTGATGCTTTTCACAAACAATTCTAAATAACTGCCTTTTCCCAGGGTTTAAAATTGAACAATTTGAGAGAAAAAAATTGGAAAATGACCACACTATTTTTAGAAGGAAATTTGAGATTTTTAGTATTTAGAAGCTTTTGGGGTTTTTTCCCCCCATTTTGAAGCTCTGTGACTTTCACAAAGATGAATAACTGGGAAATTTCCAGAATGGGAAGAGGAAAAATAATTTTAAAAATTGGAATGATTGAAAGGAAAGAGAGACAACAGGGGGAGAAACCACTATACATCATTCATTCTGTTGCACTCGGTGGCAAAATGGAAAATAAGGAATAAGATAAAGGGGGAAAAAAGACCCAAATCTAAAAACTGCAAATCTGAAAACACTGAAAGACAGGGTTCTACATGAAAAGGGCAGCCAGGATTATTCAACACTAAATCCCTGCTCTAAAACCCTGCTGAAGCCAAGAAGGTCTTTTTATTGACTTCCAGAAGCTATGGATAATGGTAAAGTACTCACAGGCTCTACCTTAGGATCTCCCTGTCCTCTACTTCTGTCTAGTTTTTGTCTATTTAGGGCCCAGTTCTCCAAACATACTGATGCCTTGCTTATTAGTGGGTAGAGATGGGCTGATTCAGGGCAGTAAGCACCACACTACATGGTAGGCATTTGTTGATATGAATCTATAGACTGGAAGTCCATGGTTCCTAAAATGTGATCCCTAGGCCCCTTCTACACATTACAAGGATTGCACAATTAACTGGTTAATTGCACAATTACCTCGAGACCAGCTACAGGTGCAAAGTAGCTGTCACATGATAAAAAGCTCCAAGCGGCTATAAAGTTAAGACCTTAAAAATGTTCCCTAACTTCCTACCTGGTTGCTATCGAGCTTTAATTTGCATGTGTAGCAGGGTCTTTCCTGTGACTGGGAGCCATGCCAGTTGACAGGGCTCCCAGCTACAGGGGGGGCACCAACACCTGGGATGAAACCCCTGAGACCAAGGGATCATGGCTGCTGTGATCCCAAGGTCTGGTAGTTTGTGAAACCCCCAGGCCCACAAGAGGCTTGTGGACCCAGCTGTGCCTCACCTGCAGCTGGGACCCAGAGTCCCACAGCTGTCACCTCTGGGTCCCCACTGTGTCTTACTCTCTCAGTCCTGGCTGTGTGTGGCCCCCACAGCTGGGAGCCCCCTTAGCAAAGGGAGTTCCCAGTTGTAGGTGCCTGCTTCTTGCCAATGCAAGGGAAGCCCAGGATAGGGCCCCCTTACACCTGCAATAAGGCATGATTGGATCTAATGCGGGAACCCACAACCTACATTTATGATTCACACCTCCTGCCAAGAACACGTGGCATGGCAGGAGGCACAATTGTGTGGATCACAGATTACATCCAATCATGCCTTTACCTGCACGTGTAGAGGGGGCCCTAGATTAGCAAAGGTCTACAGAACACCATCAGCAGCTGCTGCTCTCCTTCATTATCTTCCCCTTCCATGATACAATGGCTGTCAGTAGCTGGAAGGTCACACTGTCATCGCTCATTTGGAATATTTATACTCCACGGAGAACTGACTGGGCACACTTTGCTTTCTGCATATTAAATTTCTATGGAAAAGGACTAATGTCATAGCTTCAGGGATAGCATTTAAAGAGAGGTGACTCTGGCAAGTGTCAAGATGGAGGTGTCCATCAATCTCTTTTCAGATGTGGTCCACATTATGAGGATCCTTACAACAAAGCTGTTTAGGGAAGAGCCGGCAGTGCTTACTTCCATAAACAATTCCATTGATTTCAATGGAATCACTATGGCGACAATGAAATGTGCATTTGCAGGTTTCTGAAGCGCTATTAAAAGTAGCACTGCTACACAATCATTTTCAACATTCCTAATAAATAATAATGCTCACCTTTGTTGCCAATGATTTGAGCTTTCCCAGAAGTGACTGTTTATTTGAATATACTATTTCCTCTTCGTTATCTTCCCCTTCCATGATAGCACAGCTGTCAGCAGCTGGGAGCTCACACTCTTTTGAGTTTGCTGTCATCACTAATTTGGAATATTTATACTCCAGCCTAAAGGTATAAACACAGACAGTTATGGTTTCTTTTTTTTCGCCTGCTCAATGTCCCATATTCTAGCATTATGCAGACGGTGCAGATCTTCATAATTTTATCTGCAGCTACTCCTCCAAGTTAATTGTTAGGCATTTCTTCAGAATTGGAAGTTATATTTTAAGAACCAGAAATAAGAAACATGCCGAGAACTGCATTAGCAACTCGCTTTCTATTTTGCAAACTAGAGCAAACCCCATAAAATCTTTAAATCAAGATCCATGTGTCCCTCTATGTCAGTGGTTCCTAGTCTTTTTAAACCGGGGTGTCCAAACTTTTTCAATGTGGGGCCAGATCATGAACTTTTTATCACCCAGTGGGCCGGCGAGCCATATTCAAAGACCTCACAGGAAGCGATGTCACATCATCCCCTCTCCCCCCACCCAATGAAAGTACAGTGTTTACTTTCGTTTCCCGTCGCAGCCCCTCGGGCCTCAGAAAACAGCTTGGAGGGCCGCATGTTGGACAAGCCTGTTTTAGACTAATGGACCACTGTCAACACTCAAAATTTCTCAAGACACATTTATCCAGAGAAAGCCATTGGATCCTAATGGCCTTGTATGGGGGTCACAGTCTAGAAACCACTACTCTTAATCAAACTGAAACTGTAAGCTTAAGGCAGGAATCAGTAGATACAGGTAGATGATTCCAATGGTTCTTTCTGGCCTGAAAATCTATGACTTCATAAGTATATATTACATCAGGGCTTAAAAGAATCTTTAACTATCAGGGGTTAAGAGGAATATCCGCACTGGCATATTATTCCATGCTTGCCTACTTTGGGATTTGTGTTACCTTTCTGTTAGAGACAAAAAACTAGAGGAGATGATTCAAGTTGGCGTTTCCTATACTGTTCCAAAGTGCACAGGAAGCAGAGCCTTTCCAGAGATCTCAGTGAGTTCTGGCTCATGTTACCTCAGTGCTTAACACTTACTTCTGATTCTTCTTCCAGAAGTAGCAGGTCAAGGCTATGAGTAGGACAGCTGTGAACGCCCCAACACCTGCTCCAACTTTTAACCAGAAGTCCACTGTTTCGCAGGTACTGATCCTTTTCTCTGGCAAGGAAACCCCTTTGATGCACTGCTTTGGCTCATTCCATACATACAGGATCTCCTGGAAAGAGAATGAAAGGATATGATAAAGTGGCTCAAATTCAGAGACTCATGATGGATAGTCTGAGAAGATGACAAGATGTTTGAGAGAGAGGGTACCTGGAGAGAGGAGATATTTACTCTTTAACGAGTCTTCTCATTTTTTTGGTCAAATCAGAGTCAGACTGCACTGCACTGCATACATTTTCGCCACTAAGATGGCATTAAGGGGCCATAAACTGGTTAAAAATGCCCAAAAAATAATTCCTCTGTGAACAAGGATTTCCTGCTGCCAACCTGTGTCTGTAACCCTCCATCTCACTCAGCATAGAGAGTGGATTGGGGAAGGTAGGGAAGGGATGTGTGGCATGTGGGAGGGTATATGGCAGTAGCTTACTAGAGGGGTAGGTGATGGGGGCATGAGCCCTAGGGACTGATAAAGATAGGGGTGCTGGAACTGAGGCTTGGGGGGATGCTAGAATAGAAGCAGTTACTCTGCTAGTCTAGCAGCTGCAAGCTATGGCTGTGTGGGGAGCGGCTGGGAATTGGGTAGCAACATCAAGGCGGTTCTTGGGTCCTGCTAGATAAGTGCTGAGAGAGAAAGAAGCAAGAGGTGAAGACAGGGGGGTGTCCCTCTGCTGCCAAATTAGGAGTTGTATTTCTTCACTCGGCATTTCATTTGGTAGCACCTCTCAAAAGAGAGGTGGGGACACCTTCCCACATAGCTGTCAGGCATCTAGACTGGCTCTGGCTCCACCATGGTCTTTTCCTCTCTGCAGAACTAGATCCCAGCCGCTGCCAGGACCCGAGAGCCCCTGCCTTTACCACTTAGGTCCTGGACACCACCCAGAGCCTCAAGCATGCCCCTGGGTGCCTCTGCAACTTAAGGGCAACAAAGGAACTTGGTATGCCTCTCAGATGTGGACTAGCACAGACTTGACATGAAGGACCCTGAACTAAAGGACCAACGTATGATAGCCTAGAAAACACTTCAGACTTCAGAGAGCTGGAGAATCAGGGAGCGCTACAACACCGCACTGTGCATGCTGGTGCAGAATCCTGTGGTGCTGACAAAGGCAGTTCAACAGTGGCCAACAGCTCCACAAAACCATCCTGTTTGATTATTTATCAGGCATCAGCCTCATACCTGAAATCCTTTTTTGCAAGCTCCCTCAATCTCATGGTAGTCATGCTCCATGCACAAAGGGCAGGCTTCAGCACTTTCCCACATGAAGTAGAATGTGCATCCATCACAGGTGCCGGCAGGGCACAAGCTGGGAGAAAAGCAAAGCAAAGCTTGGTTACCATTTGTGACACAGATGTCTATCCTGGGGGGTAGAGAAATGGCCCACCTCCTGTACAGCCAGCCTGTTGCTGAAGAATGCTAATGACCATTACAACAAATTACCCTCCACTAATTCAATGTTTTAAAAAAAATCAAAATTCCCAGAGAAAGATTTTGCAGGCAATGGAACACCTTGTTCCGTTGTGTCAAATTTAAAAAGTGACTTGGATGTCAAATTTCTGGAAATAATAGTGTGATTATGAGTGTGATACAGGAACTTCTACTGAACAGAATGAAAAAGTACTTAAACCTATATTGAAGTTAACGGATTTATTCCAGATTTGCAAAATTACCGATAAAGTCAGATTCTCACCAATTGTGCCAATCTAATCTCCTTAGTAGCCATGGTCTGTCACTGTGAGATATGGAATACTGTGTGAGGTAGATCTGTGATCTTTTTAGGTTGTTAGGTTACCTTTTGGAAATACCCTCAAAATCATTTTAAGATGAACATATTAAGGGTGACCATATGTTCTGGTTTGGCTGGGACAGCCCAGATTTCAGAGGCCAGTCCCAGCGAGCCAGTGGAAATTAAAATGAGCGTCCCAGGTACAAAGGCAGAGCAATAGGAGCTCTGAAATAGGAAGCCCTAGCAGACTGCAAAATTGCATGATTAGTGGAATGACCATTAACAGTAATTGTTACTTCACCGGTCACTGTTGACACCTGTGCAGTAAAGAACATGGATTTCACATCATTTCATATTTTATATATTTTAAGCTGTTTTGGTTGCATCCATTTCTGATTTGCAGGGATCCTGGTCTTCTCCAATTTAAAAAAAATCCCCAGTTTTGGGGTTATAAAAAGTAACCCAAAATCCACATTTTCCCACGATGAAAACGAACCACCACTAATATGTAGATAGATAGATAGGTATAGTAGTGTTTCATATATATACACATACATATATTATATACACATACCTAATATATATACACACACACACTTATTTTTTATTTTTATATATATATATATATATA